AAAAAACCCAAAAAAAAAAAAAAAAAAAAAAAAGAACGACTCCAGTTTCTAAAAGAATAAACACAGAAACTGAACCAGGTAGATGACGCCGGACTCCAGAGAACCTTGCATGAAAAGCTCCCTCTGTTCTCAGAGGGCCTCAGAGGAGAAGCGCACACGGAGGCCAGTGTCAGGGCGGCCCGTGCCCCTGCAGGCAGCTGCACCCCACTGCCAGAGGCGGCTGCCCTTGGCCCTGCCCTGGTATCTAGGGTGGGATTACCAAGAAAAAGAAAGGTGAGCGCGGGAGGGGAGCGGGCATGGAGCCAGCCTTGGAAAGCTGGCTTCCCAGACCTCTCGAGACTCCAGCTAAGGGCCTGGGGAGCAAAGCCAAAACCGAGCCCTGCCACGCAGCGCCTGGCCAGAAGCCTTAGGTATTTGCCGAAATAATGCAATTCACGCATGTGTGACGAGGCCCACTGGAAAGTGCCTCAAGGAAACGTGTTCCAAGCCAAGCAGTCTGCACACACCTGCCAGCTCTGCGGCGTAGGCGCTGCCCAGGAGTCGTCTACAGCAGAGGGGCAGAGACGGGGGCCTGGATGGCAGCACCCCTCTGGTCACCTGCAACCCGGTTTTTCATAGAAAGATTCTCGAGCACCGCGTGGGTCAAAAGGCTGGAGGTGCCCAGCTCCGCGGCAGTCCTGAGCGCCTTCCTGATGCTGAAGGTGCGTGTCCTCATCCTGCCTGCCGCTGGCCCACACGTGCTCGAGTGAGACTGGGAGTCCGGTGCTAAACACACCTCACGGTCCCACCTGTTGTCCCTAACAAGAAAACGTAAAAGCCCAGAAGCCACAGGACCAGCAGGTGGTGTAATGGTTATGTCCCTGGTCTCCCATGTAGTCGACTGCGGTTCGGATCCCAGACCCAGTGGCTTAAAGCTCATGCCGGGTGTATGTGTGTGCGTGCCAAAAAAACCCAAAAGGAGAAGGGATTGCAGCATGGCCATCCCCCCGGGGGGTGATTTCTTGCTTTTTATCTCTCTTGGTCTCTCTGGCAAGCACACGTACCCTATAGCAAAAAATTCTCTCTTTAAAAAAAAAAAAAAAAGCCCAGAAAAAATCTCCTTTAAAAAAAAAAAAAAAAACCCCAGAAGCCATTTCTGGTCATCAATTCAGCAAGTAACCGCGCGTGTGCTCCTGGCTCAGCAGCTTCTGTGAGAATCTGGGGCTCCCGCCTATCTGCACCCACACCCCCTCAGCTGGCGTCTGCGGGGACTCAGAGCCACTCTCACCCCCAGGACTGCCATGACAACTGCCTAGAGTGGAGACGTGCTCCTCGGGTTGGGTCGACACCAGGAAAAGCAGCAGGTGTCACGGCGACACCTGGAGGGCGGCCGGTCAGGCAGGATTGCGTGCACAGAGCGCTCGGCTGGGGGCAGGGGACGCTCCTGCCTGGCCTTGCCGGCAATTACATTTCATAACTAGTGTCTGAAGTTGGTTTTCTATACATTTTTTTAAAGAATTATTTTATGTAACTTTATTTATTTATTTTAACTTGACCAGAGAGGGACAGAGTAAGAGAGAGAGAGAGGGCCGCCAAGTCCAGGACTCGAACTGCGGTCAGTCACATGGTTCTCTATACAAATGTCCAGCACCCTTAACCACCACACCACCTGCCGACCCCAGGTTTTCTATAAGTTTTTAAAGTTTATTTTATTTCTTCTGTGAGTGGTGGAGACACAGAAGAGAGAGCAGGCGGGGAGAAGGGAAGAGGCCCCTAGCAGCGTCTTCATGCCACGGTCCCCCCCACCCCCGGCAGCCCAGGTCACCCAGGCTGTGAACTGGCACATACAGGAGACCTCGAGGAGCCAGCCTGGGCCACCTCCTGCGTGGCACAGCAGGGACAGCGCTGAAGTGACACCACCACTGTGGGCACATCGTTCTATGGGCGTTCCGACGGGGCCTCTCCCGTCATTGGTAGGTGGTCTCTAACTCGTACAGAAGCTAAGAAACCAAGTCTCTCAATGGGAACACTGAGGATGAATGTCCAAATACACTCGAGCTTACCACTTCAGCACCAAACCTTTCCACCCCATAACGTATAGTTCTGTTTGGTCGTTTTTGGTGAAAATACACGTAAAATAACTCTGTGCTTCCCTGACTCTTAAACGGCCAACACTATGGATGTACCCAACTCCTCCTTAGTAATTCAGAGTCATTATCTCAAGGTCTTCTGGTAAGAATCCTGTTCCTCTTTCAAAGCCCTGCACAGAGGCTTTGCCGCCAGGCCCTCTTCTTGAAAACACCCCTTCACAAACGCATTCACCGTTTGTCTTTCCTAAGACTCCGAATCTGTAGGGGACAGACCCGACTTCGGTTTGCCCCCAGCACCTGGCACTCACTTCGTCCACCCATTCTAGAACCATGAGTGGCCCCTCTGGGAGCATGGCAATGGGCACTGGGCATAAGAACCAGCTCAAGAAGCCACAGCTGTGTGGAGGACCGGCCCCTACCTGGGAGCCCACAGTGGGCAGTGGCAGCTCAGTGACACCCCCGGGGCAGGGCTGCACCAAGCTACTCTCTCCCTAAGGACCCCTGAGAACCATGCCCTGGGGGTCCCACGTTCTCCTGCCTTATCCTCGGGCTCTCCCTTCAGCAGGGACGCCTCGGTTTACTGCAATGCTCCTCTGCCGGGCCTTGCAGATAAGAATCCTGGCCTCGGCAGGCGGAATGTTCTCCTTCTATACAAAGCAGTACCTGGGACTGTTAGTGCCAGCGAGGTCCTCAGAAAGACCGAGGCACTCGGAAAGGCGAGGCCAGAGGCTTCTCTTGACACTCTCTCTCTCCTGCAGGCAGTAAAGTGCCGCAGCGTCTGGCTTCTTCCCGCTCACGGGGAGGGGGACCCAAGCAGCTCCTAGCTGGGCTTCGACCCGTGCCACCCTGGCCACCGCGAGACCGGTGTCCTGCAGGACTGAAGTGCCCAGGTGTCACCTGGAAATTTAAAAACTAGACTCTGTCCTCAGCTCTGAATTTGCCATCCCACACTGGAGCACCTGGGAAGACACTGAGCACTCCAGGACCCACCACTGCAGGGCGTGCAGGTAACGACATTGCTGCTCGGCAGGCAGAGGCCAGCAGAGGTTCGGCTCCCGCTCACCCTGAAGCCAAGTGCGGTGGCAGACAAATATCACCCCAGCTACTCGGGAGGACTGTGAGTGAGCAAGCCCCTGTCTGAAGGAAGGACAAAAGAAAAGAAGGCAGGCAGACAAGCCAAGCTCTTCCTAAACACCAACGGCCGTGGACGGCACCTCAGAAAGCAAAGCAGATTGTCCACATGTGCCCACACAGCACCTGCCTCCCCAGCTCGGTGCTGAACCCCGGAAAGCACTGGAAAGACAAGTCCATGAACTGTCACTCAGGCAAACTCAGCACCCCGGAGCTCAGGCAGCACAACTGCAGTGACACAGCACCGTGGGGGAGGGGGCCAGGTGATGACATGCCTCCCAGCTCTTCCAGGGAGCACCTAAGGGGCCTCGCACACCTGTCCCTTCCTCGCCACCCCCCCGCTGTGTCCTCCAAGCCTGGTCCCCGACACAAGAATAAACATGCATGATTTGGGAAGAATGTGTCCCAGGTCATTCATTCTCCACCTAGGAGGCCCTGATAAGGCATCTGCTACAGGAGGCGGGCTGGCCTGGGTGACAGGGACACTTCCTGACGAGCCCCGCCTCTTTTTCAGCAAACATCTTACAACTCTGACTCATTGAGCTTTCTTTTCTTTTCTTTTCTTTTTTCTTTAATTTGCCAGAGAAAGTGTTCACTTGCCAGAGCCAGAGCCAGAACAAGCGTCCCGGTGTGGGGTCACGGGCAACCCCACGCCCTCCATTTCTCTCCTGTTGGGACTTGGGGCACACACAGGAACGCAGGGTGTTTTTGCTTGTTTAGGAAGTTGCCAAGGCTGGGATTCAAACCTGTGGTCAGCCATGTGAGAGCCAGCTCCCTTAACCACTGGGCCCCAGTCTGTCCTACAGACTTTTCATAAAATGATTATAAGCTATCTCCCACTGAGTCTGAGAAAGGGTTAGGAAGCATCCCTGAAATCGCTTCACAAGACCCAGAGAGCAACACCAGGAACTCCTGCATGATAAGAGCACTTCTCAGTCTGCCTCCTCCCGCTCCACTCCCAGGGCTGGGCCAAACCCTGTTTTATTGGCTCAGAGGTATCTCCTCTGCTCCTCCCTACCCTGCCCGGAGAGGAGAGGGGCCGAGCGAGCGCAGGGGCAGAGGCAGGGGCTGGGCCGGTGGACATCACGAGGCTTCGGGCTGACCGGGTTGCTGAGGAATCATTTGGAAACTCATCAAAGGTTATGTGGAAACCTTTGTAAGGCTGCTTCCTCTCCCAGAGCTGAGCCGTAACTCGATACTGACCTGTCCCGCAGTGTCGCAGAGCTGCAATCGCACAGGCCGCCCGTCCACAGACACCACAGCTTAAAAACAAGACCAAAGTGATTATCAGGAAGTGTGTTTTAACCCGTCACAGAAGACTGACATCTTAGCTCCTCGGCCCCTCTGCCCCAAACCCTTCCTACCATTGCGGGTCCTTTAATGAATCAAAGACGCCTAAAAGGAGGCTGAGGAGGCATTTTGTATACAAGCCCTCCAGGGCGGGCCATTCACTCAGGGCCTCAATGAAGCTGCAAATCCCTGGCCCTTTGATGGTGTCCCCCAAGGGCCTGTGCTTTTCTCCCAGCCCTGGAAGATTTATTCTCCTATCACACAGTTTCAAAGGACCTAAAAGCAACACTGGGAGGTAAGTGGGAAGCGGCCTAGCAGTTTTAAGTCCGTGGGAAACCTCACAATAATTGTTTTTCCTCAGCAAAGGCGCCTATCGGGAAAATCCTCACTGTTTAAAGAACACATCAGAGACGCGGGGGCACCGGGGGCACCGTCCTGTTTAGAAGCCACTCCTTATCTCTCCCAGCAGGTCAAAGGGAGGACTTTAAAAGGAAAGGAAGTGGCCGAGCCCACCTTTCCACCAGGACCGGGATCTGGGGAGGGAGGGCGAGCTCAGGAGGCTCCTATTTGAATTAAGCTGTCGGTTGTGTCTCTTTCTCCACCACTTTCTGATTGCTTCCAAATGTTTGTGCTGGTCACCTGGGGGAAGAAAAGGCGCCAGAGCCGGGGCAGGAGCCCCAGCGGGGGTGTAGCCAGGGAGGCCTGACACCGGAGAAGGTTAGGAGGCCACTGTTCACACTCTCCGTGAATTCTAACTTTTTCTTACATTTTAAAAAGCCCTGGACAGTCAAGATAAAGATTCTTTTATCTTTGTGTCCACCAAGCCAGATGACATCACAGCCCGTAGGTAAGGGCTTCTGAGTAGCTCAAAGAGGTCCCGGGGAGAGTCACAATCAGAACCGGCCCCTGGGGAGGCGCCGGGATCGGGAGCGGGAGCGAGAAGCCAGTTGACCCTTCAGGTTTGATCTGAGCTACGCCTTCCCCAGGGCCGCTGGCCATGTGCACTAAATCGAGTCTTTTCCAGAGACTGCGACTCTGCGAAGCGTTGAAGCGCCCGATGGGCCGCGCCGCCCGCAAGGAATGACCGCGGCTCGGCGCCACAGGTAGAGCACCTGTGCCGGGCACCTGCGGGGAAAGGC